ATGCACCATCCAGACAGGCTTAATCACAAATTTAACAATATAGATAGTATTAATATATAACCCTACAAGTCAGAACCTACCCTCATTTCTCACCCACACAAGACAGACATGCTTATGGAGGTGTTGAGGCCACACACTTATACACACCTCCACATGAATATACACATCATACTCACTCACTCCCTAATGAACCAAATGATAACATACACCCATAGTAATATACATGCTTACACACATTATACTCACTCACTCCTTAAGAACCAAATAACACACACACACTTAACAGAGACACATTCCCTTTCCAGGAACCAATAAAACTGTCAAAATGACCAAGGGAATTCAGAGCAGCATGAATCCATCCAGCTCTTATCTTAAATAACAACTTAAAAGAGACTGTTTGACCAACACAAGGGCTGATCAAAATTCATGTTAAAAAAATAAAAAAAACAAATGAAAACTACTGACAAAAGTTCATTTTCTCCCTCAAGACATTCAGTTCTGTAGTTCATAGCTACCAGCAAGCAGGATTTTATTTTTCTCCTGATGATGGCCATGTTGGCTGAAACTAGTCAAGCAATATAACTGAAATAATAATGAAAAAGAAAGAATATTAATATACAATCCAGTGTGTCTGAAGATTTTAATTTTTTAATATTTTTTATTGTTCAATATATATATATATATATATATATATATATATATATATATATGTGAAACTATTGTGATGATGGATGTGGTGAATTAAGACCATATATTGTTCTTTATAATAAAAAGTAGTGTTTGAATTTCATTCAATATATTACATGTAAAAAGAAAGTAAACAGTTGAATTATTAATTAATATCTCACTTATCAGCTGTGATAACTCATGGTACTGAAAGAAAGTGCCATGAGTTATCACTGCTGATAAGTGAGATATTAAGCTAACAATTAATAATTCAAGTGTTTACTTTCTTTGTATGTGTAATACATTGAATGAAATCCAAAGACCACTTTTTTATTATAAAGAACAATAGAAGGCCTTAACTTACCACATCCATCATTACAAGAGTTTCATATATCATAAATTTGTTTACATTTAAAGGTTGTTCATTTTTATTCCTTCTTCTATATCAAATATGAATCTAAACGTAATGTATAATCTGAAGATTTGTTAGAGCAGCATAAGTAATCTATTCCTTAGAAGATATTTTTTTCAGCAAATGATCCCAAGAATTGTTTATAAAACATATTATAATAAACTTGGTTTTTTGTTCATCTCATTGCTAGCAAAGCCTCTATTTCCATACAGAATATTCCTATGAGGAAGGCTAGAGAATGGATCTGCCAAACTGTTGTGGCAACAGCAAGAACAACAAAAAGAATGAATTTGGAAGTCCAAATAATATCACTTGGAATGACTCTTCTCAAAAATTGCAGCAATTATTGCAACAATGATAACTTGTTTGCTTCATGTAAAGTCTTTCTTGATTGAGGAGTGGAGCTTGCAAAGGTATATCCTCTTATTGTGAAAGAGATTTGTACAGCGTTTATTTTTAACCCTTTTTAACAATGTTCACTGATTCTGTGGCAAATTCATGATAAAAAATAAGTATTTAGGAGAGATTTCATAAAAGCTTCAGTGGGAAATTGATATGAACAACCCTAAGCAAAATTTACAATTACCTCATCAATTTTATTTAGGTTAAAACTTGATCAATTTTCATATTCTTTCCAAATAAGATATTTACAGATTAGAGTGTATCAAGAATGCTGGTATTACATATAGAATATTGATGTTAAAAGGTTCAAACAGTCTAGTTACATTATTTGTACACAGAATATTGTCTCTATCATTGTTGTTGTTATCACAACATTTTAGCCATTGTGCCCGCTGACCTTCATCAGGTATTTGTCAATCCAGGTAAATTCTGTCAACATTTCTGGGATGAGAAGTTCTCATTATTTAGAATATTTATATTTGAACTATTGTCCTCATCTTTGTTGTTGTTATCACAACGTTTCTGCCATTGTGTTTTACAGCCTTTATCTCAATTGATATACACCTGATGAAGGTCAGAGGGCACAGTGGCTGAAACATTGTGCTAACAACAAAGATGAAGATAATAGTCCAAATTTAAATAGGGTAAATAATCCATGTATCTGAACCCTTCATTTAGTGCACCCCCACAAAGGATATGGACATGATGGTATCCCTGCAATAGTCCTTAAGAAATGTGCTCCTGAACTGACTCCTGTTCTCACTAAATTGTAAAATAAATGCCTCGCTGCCTCTTGTTTTCCTACTTGTTGGAATCCTCTTCCATAGTTAAAGAACTTAGATGAACTGTCTGAACCTTTCAACTATTAACTTTCTATCACTTTCTGACAAAATACTACAGGCTCTAATCAACTTTGGATTCATTAAGCATTTCACATCATAGAACCTTCATTCAGATAAGCAATATGGCTTTCACTTCTCTAGGTCAACTGTAAATGTATTAATAATTATTGCTTAAAAAGTATACCAAGCTTTAGATAAAAATGGTTAAACCCAGTCTGTTGCTTTGAACATCTCAAAAGTATTTAACAGGGTTTGGCATACCAGTCTTCTTCACAAGTTGAAAGGTTATGATATTTCTGGATGAAATTTTGAACTCATTTTAGCCTAGTAGATTAAATTATTGGTTCATGAATTTGGTAATATAGTAATTGTGATTTCAGTCCATGAACCAGGCAGTGTACTTGAACTCAGTAGAAACAGGGCAAACAATAACTGAACAATTCTAAATAAAAACTAAATGAGATATCCTGAGACAGGAACCACTGAATGAGAACAATCCACCCCCTTAGATTAAATAAAGTGTTCAGTTCAAAATTCCCTGAATGTTACTCAGATCAACTAACTCCTGGTGAAAACCACCTACAATCTGAAGAAGACACAAAGTATCTTTCCTTACATGTTCTCTTGTATTTCTCATTAATCTAAGGATTTCTTCTTAATCCATATTTTCAATTCATGTATATATATTAAATTATTTGCTCTGGATTTACATTGAGCTCTCTGGATTTTATCCTCCTTAGGTTTACCTATACAGATTACCTAGTTTTTCATAAACTATATATATATATATATATATATATATATATATATATATATATATATATATATATGTGTGTGTGTGTGTGTAATAATATTATTTGATTATTCTTATGGATAATTCTAAAGAGGGTATAAATCCAAAGAGAGTTCAATGTAAGAACAGAGTAAATGATAATGATGAAATTGGAGACTTTAGAAACCCAAGGTAATATTTTATTTTGCAAGCATGCTTAATTGATCTTGTCTCATCAGACCAAACAGTTCCAAAATTTGGTCTGATGAGACGAGATTGATTAATTGGTCCTGAAAAATAAAAGATTACCATGGGTTTCTAAAGTCACTGCTTTCATCATTATATATATAGTTAACTCTCCCGTTGAATTCAACGTATGAGGGTCAAGCAGATCAGTTCCCAGGAAATCGACAGCCCTACAACAGCACATGAGATTTGATTATGGTGGTGAAGGTTTCATGCAGGACCAGTCACACTATTATATATATATATAATAATAATCTTTTAATCATTTCTGTCCTATCCTAAGCAAGGCAGTAAAGCCACTGAGACACAAGGGGTTACTGAATAAAGAATGAGAGAGAAAAAAACATTATTAAGGAGTGGGAAGAATAAAAGACACTTGATAACAACTGACATTGCAATAAATATTTCAAAATCAAAGTTTACTGGAAAGCATGGAGATGAGAAGCAAGAAGCTAGAAGAGAGTTCCACAAGCAAGAAGTGCAAGAGAAGAAAATGTTACAATAGAACTTACAGTTGCATCTTACCAGTTCAACTGTAAATTGCTGAAACTTTTTTTCCAATCTAATATTGTGCTTAAATTTGTAATGTCTAGACATCTTAGTGAAGAGTTCTTCATGAAAGTATTTGTAGAAAATGGCACAGGGAAGCTAATTTACAATTTAAAATGGGAAAGGTACTGAAGTCAAGATGCTAGGTCAGGACCAACAACATTGAAGACAATAATATGTGGCAGCAATATTTAAAGCACTGATAAATGCAAGAAAATGTTAGCATAGAACTTACAGTTACATCTAACCATTTTAACTGTAAAATGATAAGACTTTATTGACAATCTAGTACTGCGCTTAAATTCATAAACTATAAGTACTATAGATGAGAATTTGTTACTGTGAAAGTATTTATAGAAAAAGGTATAGTGAAGTTACATTACAGTGGTGGAAAAGTGACTGAAGCTGAGATGCTAGGACAGAAGCTTAGATTGAAGATTCATTTTTGTATTTTATCAAAGATTTCTAAATATATAGCACAAGCACCAGACCATCTGTGGCAGCAATATTCTAAGCATAGACAAATGGTAGACTTGTAAATATATACAGTAGATCAGTTGTCTAGTATGACACAGAGAACCAATTTTCCAAGTAGCAGACCTAGTAATTGATTCAATATAATCTTTCCACTTCATGTCAGTGGAAAACATTAGTCTGAGAAGGTACAATGAGTCACTCTCCTGGAGGTTAGCATCAGCCATACTCATAAAAGGGCTCTCTCAGATGATTAATAAAGAGCAGTTTTGTTTTGGAGGCATTAAAATTAAAAAGCCATTCCAGTTAACAGCAGATTGTAAGTGTTTTTGAGATCAGCTATACACATTTTGATATATTGTCTCCTTTGGTGAAAGATATTTTATTTAGTGCTTGTTGTTTTTGTATACTAATAGCTTCAAGTATTTTGAGTCTTTGTCTTAAGTGAGTGTAATATAGTATCTTGGTATTATCTCCTAATATTTGTCTTATGTTAACAGTTGTTTTTGGTTGTTTGTGATGATCAATATGTGTACAAACTGAACTAAGTTTTAATCAGTGACAGGGTAACCTTTAACACAGTGCGGGACTTGTGCTTCCAATGTAAGAATTTGATTATGTTTTTCTTATTATGCAGTTGATCTATCTATCTATCTATCTATCTATCTATCTATCTATCTATCTATCTATCTATCTATCCCAGCCTGTTCTTATCAGTATATATATCTATGTCAGCCTGTTCATATCTATCTATCTATCTTTTATATTTCCTGTCATATAATGTACTTATGTATATAATTCCCCAATAATTTGGTAAATAATATTTAGGTAAAAAGAAAACTGTTTGGATATTTTGATTTATTTAGTTAATCATTTACAATCATATATTTAATTCTGGGACCATCAAAGGACTTAGGTATCAAACAAGTGTGTTTATGTGTTTGTTTAGTAGTCAAACCTAAACCTTGGGATATAAGATACAGGAAGATTTTCAGAAGCAGTTTTGTAAAATTAGTGCAATTTTATGTTGGAAAACATAATCCTTCACTCTTATGTATATATATATATATATATATATATATATATATATATATATATATATATATATAATATTATAAACATTATATTTAGAGGCTAGATGTTTCTGAATAGACATCACTTTTTTTTAATTTAAATGGAAATTAATGTCAACCTGGGTAGAGATTAAAATAGCCTACAACAATTTTACAACAGGGAAACATCTTTTAAGCTAAGTACGTTTTACCATTTTCTTGAGTAGTACTACTTGAACTTCAGGCGGGTTGACGTTAATTTTACTGTTTAAAAAAAAAAGAAAAGGGAATTCTACTCAAATATATGTATCCACTATATATAACATTTATAATAATAAGAAATAATGTTAGATTAAAATAAATATAAATTACTCATATATATATATATATATATATATATATATATATATATATATATATGAGGAGATTGAAATTTGATGAGATAACTGAAAGGATTATTATAAAAATAAATAGACATTATATGTCTATATTATTCAATGAAACATGTTTGACTGAAGATATTCTGCCTATATATATATATATATATATATATATATATATATATATATATATATATATATTATATGACAAGGTGGAAAAAGTTTACTTGGGATGCATTTCATCCTTTGGAACATCATCAGACTATATTTGTTATGCTACACGTGCACAAAAAAGGGTGCTTTGAATCTTTTAAAAAATAAATGCTAAAATTACCAGCACCCTTCATTCATGAGTGTATATTCATACTAGCATAACAAATTTAGTCCAATGAAACACATGACAAGAAGAATTTTTCCACTTTGTTATACAATTTTCCCAATACTGTTTTTGATATATAAAAATATATCATTATTTTATATATATATATATATATATATATATATATGAAAAAATTAGGAATCACTTACACACCCACTACCATGGTTTCAACATACACACACACACACACATATAAATGTACATGTGCAAACAAGGATGCACATAAATTTGCCTAGTTTAAATGATAACTAATGCCAAAGTTACTTCCTCATTTCAGTGTCAGCTTCTTATTCACTCAATAAATTTCCATGAATTTCAAATGACACTCATGTGTCCCCCAGCAGTTTGTTTTGGTTTTTTCTTTATTTTTCCTTCTTGCCATTTACAGGTACCAATTAATTATGGTTCAGGATCTTTTCACAAATTGCTGATGTAAAGCAAAAGAATTTTTTAAAAAAGTATAAAAATAAAAAAATCTTAAAGACGAATGCTAAACAAAAAAAAGATCACCCTTGTTTTTGGAATAAAAAAAAAAATTCTAAGACTGACTGAATTACGGCTGTCACCACATTATGATCATTAGAATCTCTTTTTTATGGTCTTACTAGCATTCTTGTTTTCACACACATTCTGTGGAGTAAGAATTGTTTTTAAGGAGAGTGGAACTCTTGAATTTCTTAAGGCCTAATTTAATTTGATTGCATTTAATTTAATTCCTTCACCAAGAAAAAAAAACTTCCTATGAAAAAATGAGAATCAATTGAACAAAAGAGAATTTTTCTTATATTTCCATGATCACAGTTTGCCAGAATTAGCTGTGTTTGAGGTTCAGCATGTATGTATGTATGGGAGGTAGTCTCTGTGTGTATATTCAAGAATATGTGTATTAGTGTTAGCTATCTATGTATATAAACACTTTTTGAGGTTGGTGATTGATTAAAAAGTTTCTGCAGATGATACATAAATCATTGTAATTATTAAAATAAAAAATATTTAACAATATTAATTGCAAGACCTCTCTGAAAAATGATTTTTACTTTATTTATTATTTATTTCTTCATGAACTGGATACAGAAGAGTTTACAAGTACTTTATATAATATTTTGAACTGAAATAAATGGTTTCCTTCTCTTAGATGAGTTGCAATTTAAAAGTCTCATCATTTGTTCCAAAGAACAAAATATGTAATTTTCATGCAGGGTATTGTTATTTTGCTACTTTTATTTACAGCTAAAACATAGGCTATGCAAAAGCATTTGATAAAGTAAGGCATAAAGATCTATTTGAACTGCTAAGAAAACTTGATTTATTTGGGAAAAATATTTGAATAATTCAGAAACTGCTGGTATATACATATAAAATTAATTGGGCAAGTACACAAAACAGAAATGGGCATGTAACAAGGATGCCTTTCCTCACTAGGTTTACAGTGAGGCAGTCCTACAAGAACTAGAGTGGTCATCAAATGTTATCTGAGCAAACACCTAGGGGTCGATGAGGAGTTCCAAAGGGTTGATGATAGTCAAGGCATCAAATGGTGGCCAGTGTGCAAATGAGCTAAATGTTACTTTATGGACATGTATGTTGTATTCTTCAGTGCAGATGAAAGGAAGGCACTGAACTTAACGATCAACAGAATCAAAAGCCTTAGTTACATCTATCCAAGTAGCTTTTAACTTATTTTGATGAGATTTATTTAATGTTATATTGAGCACTGCTTGCTCTTTTTGAATTGTTCCAAATTGATTTTTAGATAATAATCACCTTTCTTCAACCTCTACCTCCCTTCTCTTAGATGAGTTGCAATTTAAAAGTTTCATTATTAGTTCCAAAGAACAAAATATGTAATTTTGATGCAGGGTATTGTTATTTGGCTACTTTTATTTACAGCTGAAACATAGGCTATGCAAAAGCATTTGATAAGGTAAGGCATAAAGATCTATTTGAACTTCTAGGAAAACTTGATTTATTTGGGAAAAATATTTGAATAATTCAGAATTTTCTCCCTTGCCCTCGTTTATGCTTGAGTTCAAGTTACTCACCTGGACTACTGATACGCCACAGTCTACTTCAGATTCTCTATGATGCTGAGTGGAGAGGTTGCATTCCTAATTTTTATCAAAATTTTCTTGAAAAAAATGCATACTATTCTTAAGTATCTCTGGTACTTCCCTTGGTCAATTAGAGTCTTTGTCTTTTCCAAGAATTCAACTTGATTGGCTATCCCTCTAGGTCAGGCGTCGACAAACGGTGTCTGAGGGAAGTTCCAGGGTATTGATGATAGTCAAGGCATCGAATAGTGGTCGATGTGTAAATGAGCTAAATGTTACTTAGTGTACATGTATGTTGTATTCTTCAGTGCAGATGAAAGAAATACACTGAACTCAATGATCAACAGAATCAATAGCCTTAGTTACATCTATCCAAGTCACTTTTAACTTATTTTGATGATATTTATTTAATGCTATATTGAGCACTGCTTGCTCTTTTTGAATTGTTCCAAGTTGATTTTCAAATAACAATCACCTTTCTTCAACCTCTAACTGTAAAATAGAGTTTATGGTTATGAAGGTCATTTGGCCTGTTGGTATGAATGCATTGAGTATGATGAAACATTTGTTTATTTAATTTAATTCGTTAGTACAGTGCAAATTTTAAGGTTCACAGATATTTTAAATGGGGGTCACTGCAGAAGGAAGAGAAACAAAAGAGGGTCTATGGTCAAAGAAGTTTGACAACACTTGCCCTACAAGAACTTACTGATGGGCACAATCTTAACAGCATAAGATATGTGGATGACACCATGTTGATGGCAGACACTGAAAGACTTCAGGAACTCCTAGGCAGGGAAGTAATTCAAAGCAGCAAGAAAGTACTGACCATGAATTGTAAGAAAATAGAATGCATGGTAATTAATAAGAGAGACAGCCTAAGATACAAGTTATGAAATAGAGTGTTTAAGTATACCTACAGATGATAATGGGTATGTCCCCATTCACATAAATGCAGTAGTAAATACTGTACATGATCTAGAGTTGGAGATTCATTGTGGAATTCACTTGACTCATTTCTAGCAGTTGACTACTACTTGTACATGCTGCTGGCAAATCTTATATGTGTTGTTCTTGTCCTAAGTATTATTGTTCATTACTAACCTTTGTTTGATTATTCTATTCAGTAACCTTCCCTAGGTTACAACATAGAGACATCAAAATTAAGCAAGTACATAAATTTAAATATCTGGGAAATATTTTAACAGATGATGGAAAATGTGATAGTGAAATCTAAAGATGTTTTAGAATAATGAAAGATATTGTTCAACTGTTAAACAAAGTAGTAAGAAATACATAAGAAACAAAGAAAAGAGTGCTTAACTGCTATGTAACATCAACTACTTTTATAGCAATGAATGCTGGACAATTTACTCACAGATGAAGAGACCTAAAGCAACATAGATTTGGTTCAAAATAGAAGAATGCTGAGAATACCATGAGCAGATTATGTGATCAATGTGGAAGTTTTAAGGGAAAATGGAAACAAAACAGAGACACATACTTAAATTCAGAAAGAGTTGAAATTTTGTTGACACATATAATGAGGAAAAACTGCCTAGAGAATTTGACACTCACAGGACATATTGAAGGCAAGGGGTAACAAGCTTGTGTAATTGATGTCACAACAGGGAATGAAAACAATAGTTAAAAAACAAACATTGCTAAGAGCCACAAATTATAGAATATTGTGTAGATCTATGATAGCCCAGATCCTGGAGTGACATAGCAGAGAAAAGTAAAACAAGAATTTACCTAATGTAAAATTTATTGAAGTTTACTTAAACCTATAGCGAATGAAAAGTGAAAAAAAATAAACATACATAAAAAGGGTTGGCCTATAGTTTTTAAGTTCTTGCCATAAGCACATCTGGAACACTTTTTGTTGAGTTATTTTGTCGTTTTTTCTGTTTGGCTTC